TGGCGTGCGGGCGGAAGGTGGGCGGTTGTGTCATCCCGTAGGAATGCGTGATCAGGGTGGGCTGGCTGCCTGCCGCCACCGTGGTGACCCAGGGCGCTGCACCTGTGGCACGAAGGAATGCCGGCAATGGTGACGGGCTCGGCACAGGGGAGAGCAGAACAAAAATAAACACCCCCAGCCTTCCCCTCCTGCACCCACGTCTGCTACCAAATTGCGCCGACGCGCCCTTCTCCTTCACAGTAGCTAAAGCGGTTCAGGGTCTGGAACCGTTCCCACCAGTAAGTGCATAAAATTGCTATGGCGATGTGAGTGCAATTGTTAAAATACTCATCAGGTGACATGCGGCATGCTTGTGGTTTTATGTATTTTGTGCTTTATGCAGCTTAAGCACATGCTTCCAAGAAAATTAACCTCTTTCCCCACTGTGCTTTCATGGTTCCTTGACAAACACTCTGTGTGTATAATAATGGTGCTCTAGCCACTACAAAGAGATTGTAATTAGGCATCTGGCATAGTAGCACAATGTATGATATGTGTCTGGAAGCTGGAAATCATTTCAGGTAGTTCTGGACATAAAAGATGTCTTAAAGTATTACAGAGTGCCTTTTCCTCTAGTGAAGGCAGAGAAGGAGAAAAAACCCCCACTCTAATGAACTTGCAGGCATCTTAATACATTTGTATTAGCCCCAATACAGAAGAAACTTGAGGGGTCTTTAAAATGAGAGAAAAACCCTGCTAAAGAATAAAGAAAAGGCTCACAATGAAGTCTAATTTACAGAAGTAAATGGAGATAGTGCATTGAATTTGCTTTGAACGATTTTCTCTTGTAGAATTACAAATAAGATTAGAAACATACCTGGATTTTCATTCTCCCTCATCTGTTTAGATGGAGGCTCATCAGTGTCCCAGGGCGTTGACTGATTGATGGGTGTCTGTCCCCACCTGACGCTTGTTGCAAGTCCTTGAGGCTGATTTTCAGTCTTGGAAATGCAAGGTGTCTACCAGAGAAAGAGAAAAATACAGAATAAAAATGCTTAGACTACTGGGAATAATTACTGCTCCTCACAGCTAGTAGCTTGCTTCTCTGTTTGTTTGTTACAGTCCAAGAGGATATCCTAAAATCTTTAAATATCATTATCCTCCAGGCTTGCATGACATGTCCATATGGAAAATACAATATATTTGAAAAAAATACTTCAGGAAATAACATGTCCATATGGAAAATATAATATATTTGAAAAAAATACTTCAGGAAATTTAATAGATCCACCTTTAAAACAAAATCCACAACAAACTAGCATTTTCAGAAATAAGTTGCTTCTTTTGCCTTGAATATAAAAAAAACAACACACATATGGTAATATCCATTCAGTCACAGCTTACATAAAATGGGACAATCTTCTGTTTGCTCAATCTCTTCCAAAAATGGTGAGTTTTGTTTAGCAGAAGGCAGAACAAGAGAGACTCATTTACAACTGTAGGACAAATTACTGTAGAGCAGTAAAAAGAAGTCTTAGTATTTACGGTCTGTCAACCCTTAAAATTGAATGCCAATTAAAAAAAGCAGCATAACAGTCATTGGCCGCTAAAGTGGGTATGTTGGCAGTTCTTCAGAGATGTTAAAATAACTGTAAAACAGGGGAAGTATCGGGGATGAATAATCATCAAAGGGGATATGATCTGAAAGAGATTTTTTGATAAAGAAACTATCAATCACGTGGATTTAAATGCTAAGCCAGCCCCCCCCCTGCAGTTTTAGGGGATCTTCCCGAACAACCGTGCCTTTGCTGAGAAAAGGCCTGTAGAAAACGAGGGTGCTCCAACAGGTCTCGTTTATTTAACTCTGCAGCATATTTCATTGCTGGAAGATTAAAAGATTTTTTGTTTTGTTTTTTACTGGTGTCAGAAACTCTAAACCAAGAAAACGGAACCAGCTGCCTACTGCTGAATGAGTATTGGGGACTGAAGCCATAAAGAACAGGAGACCAGTCTGAGCAATCGCTTGTTTGCCTTACATCTGGGAAGTAATTTAGCTCCGAGATGGGGGTACAGTGGCTCCATAAATGCCCTGGGTCACGTAGTACCAATGAAATCTCTGTCAGCACCAGCAGTTTTTTTTTTCCCCATCACCAGTACCTCAATCACCCCATGAAAAGGAGTCATTAGCAAACCCATTTATGCCCTCTGCAAATACATGCACATCTTTCCCAAGCCTGTCAGTCATTCCTCAGCTCTTTAAATCCACTGGAGGTGCCTGCATTCAGTGGCTTCCTCGTGCCCTCCCTTCTGCCCCACTACCATCTCCCCTAGCTCTTCTGCCCTGCTGCAAGGCTCTCTCCTTCATCCAAATGCCCCCGATACCTCTCACCCACTCCCTTTTCCACCTGAGCTTTATCCTCCTTGGGCTCTGGAAGTCTGGAGTCCTGGGTGCAGACCTTGATGGAGGATAGGGTTTTTGCTGTGTTGCTCTCTTTGTTCCCAGAAGCCACAATGGAAATATTTGCCCCACTAGAAATGCTATACTTTCTTAAATGCAGATGGTCACACAGAAATGTGATTCTTAATGTCTTTTTTTGTACGCAATCTGGAAGTGAGAATTTTCAGCTTCTGTCCAAATTAATTTTTCGTTTTTTCAAGACACAGCAGTTTATCTTTTGGGTTTTTTTTTAAACTTTAACTTCTCCAGTTTTCTTCCTATTCTACTGGCAGCAAGGACAATGATATCCAGGTTTTAGATTCACATTTCCTTCTGCCCCCACCATTTTAATTTTCTTAACTTTTCAAACCTTTTACAACTTTTGCCATTGAAATAAAAATGAGTCAGGAAAGGCAAAAAGAGAGGACATGCAGACAAGCAAGAGCTTTAAGATTCCTTCTGTTGTAGTCATAGCAAAGAAAGGGCAGGAGGGGAAGAAATAAATCTCAGTTTTGAAATACTTTCTATTTATAAATTGTCCTGAGAAAAAGCTTAATCTAAATACCTTTAGCTTTTACATTGTACAAGGTCTTTGACACAGGAGGTTGTAACACTGTTGGTGGTTTACCAGTTCATGTTAGCAGTATCCCTTTGGATCTAGCTAAACTGTTTAACAGTGGCCAAAGCACTCTGCAGTGGAAAAAGAAAGAAAAAAAAAAAAGCACCACCAGCATTCTCTGCCTATAAATCAGCTAAGATACTTCCCCCAGAAACACTATTATTTATCCCAAAGCAAAGCTTTAAAAAACAGTAAATGCAATATAGAGAACTGGGCATTTTTATGAATCATCAAAGACGGACAGGAGGATTCAAGACTCTTATCATGCCCTGCACGTTCCGCATGTGGTATGTGTGTTGCATTTCTTTGTTGTATGAACTGGGTCTTGTAAGTGGGTTTGAAATACATACTTCTCATTATTGTGTGGCATTGTCAAGATGTGTAGCATCTTGTGTAACTTTGTTACATCCCCAAGCTGCTTTAAAAGTGTCAATCTAAAATAAGAAAAAATATTCCTGTACCTTAAATAATACAGAACCACACACATGCTATAATTTTAAAAGAACCCATATGTTCTGTAGAGAATGGGTGAGAAGGGGAGTATGTGACACAGCTCTCCTAAGTCCTACAAAAATCCGGTTGCCTATTTTGCAACTGAAAGCTTGCTTTCCAAAAAACTAGAGCACCAGATCAGACACATTTGAAACTGGTGGAGTTTGCACCCGAATCTAGATCTAAATTCCATACTTGGAGCATTAATGAAGAGGAAGGAGGTTTGCAGGTTTGCTGTCAATAAATACTTCTCCTCCGCTTCCACAAAATGCTAGTTTTTTCCAAAATTTTTTTTCACTAAATAGGCTCACAAACCCTGCTTCTTAGAGGCTCAGTGGATTTAAATGCACAAGTCCAGCACATTGCTTTCAAACTGTACTCCTGAGCTTGTATTTATTTGGTCAGAAAGAGCTGGAGATTAGCTGGTATGAAATCAAAACACACATTCATGAAACACAGTTTAGACAATAATGGTGGTGGAAACAGAAAAACAGCTTATTGAACTTCTTTTTTTTAATATATATACACTTCTGGTCTCTGATCTAATTTCTGCATTATTTTTCTTAATACATGAAGGATTACATTACAAGTGCTACATGTCTCTGATCCAATTGCAGCAATTATTGATTTGCGTATCTGGAAAGCAAAATTATTTCCAACATTATCAGAGGAACTTTCTGTCCATGCGCTCAGGCACATGACAGCACTCTATCTGATGCTTTTAATGTACAACACAAATGACCAAAAAATGGCCTGTATTATGCTAGTTGTGCAGGGGGAAGAGATGTGTTCCATTAGTGATCCGCAGACTTCACAGAAACTAATTGTACTATGTTACACTTTTATCTTTGCTTTCATGTCAGATGCTTGTTTGAATTAAACACGAAACACATGAAAAAAAGAAACGCATTACAAAATCTACTGGGTATACATTTTAAAATACTGCCAAATGTCTATTTACATGAAAAGACAAGAAGGTTTCTAAAAGGTCTGTTGAAGCCTGGCTAGTCAACAGCAGCATTGGCTATTTAATTGCCTGAAATTCATGGCAGACTACAAAGATTACTAAAGCAATCAACATCTTTGTAGCACCCCTAAAATGTTCAATCTGTGCTCTTTGTCACGGGTAGAGTACCCCAAATCCAAATCTGAGGATTTTTTTCCTCTGTTGTTTGAAATAACCGTTAAGAACAAATAAAATTTTCAGCTGAAGCTTGCATTTCACCTCATGCCTGCCACTTTGAACTCCAGCAGTGAGCAATCTCCCAGTTTTAAGGAAATTAACTGCAATATAGATGTACAGGCAGAACGGAGCAAGATGGAACAATTTCAGAATTACATGAGACTAACACAGACAAGTTGCCAGGTTGTTGATTTTTTGTAGCTCAAACAGTCATAAACCATGGCCCATAGGCAACAGTAATTGGTGTACAGCTGGTCCACTGAACCTTATTAAATTAAAACATTAAAAACCTTGAGATTCATGGGGCTTTGCAGCATATCCACAAGACAGTTCGTGAGTTCACAGCAATCAGCTGGTGCTAAAGATTGGGAATTAGTGATTCGATCTATACTGCATCAGTTTACATGGTTACTATTAGGTGTTCAGGAGGCATAGCTACAACTAAGTCTGACTTTAAGTCCAAAGTTTTACAAATCTTTGATGAAATAAGACCTAAACTTTTAGTAAGACCTTTTTTACATCAATGGAAACATAAAACCTACTGCACTACTAACAGCATTACAGAGTATGTTAGTGGAATTAAAAAAACCCCAAGCCAACAACAACCAAAATCCAACAACAAAAACTCCAGTACAATTTTCCCCAGGCTCAACACCACCAAACACTTCCTGGGAGGTCCTTATAAACACATTTGAGCAATTTCCCCAAAGGCTTGTAAAACTGCTGACATACATCCTGCTACGGCTCAGAGTGCTAAGACCTATTCAAACAGTTTCATGAGCAAAAAAGAACTAATCTGGACAGAGGGATCCTATTTGTGGTTCCCAGCGACCAAAATTATTTTACTACGGCCTTCATTTAAAGTGATGGATGAGAAGTAGCAATTCTCTGTTCCAATTATCCAAAAGAGATTGGGAATGGCAGCTTAATACTAAGACAATGTATCCAATATGCAACCCACTCTATTTTCTCTCCCCATTGAAAATAAAAAGGCTAAGACATATGCATGCATAAAGGCAAACATTCCCTCCCACGGATTCGGGTTTTATGGCCTGTCATGGGTAAAAGCAACTTCAATTTAATGAGGGAATTCCTTTTAAAGCTGTTAGCTATGCCTCGCTCTAACAAGTAATGACTGGTGGCCCTGGTTGGGTTTTAAGCCTGAACGTGTCTGGTGCTCTAAAAAGCTCAGTGGTCTCTGCACCAACAAGTTTATGGTCTAATTTGTAGTGCACGCTGCTAAATATTGCATGAAACAGGTATTATTTGTGTGCATGAGGCATGCATG